GAATGCGCTCACAGGGAGCTGTCAGCAAGGTATACTCAGTAAAGCGACCAACAGGTCCTTTATATTCACAGGGACATTCATCTCGTCGTTTTTCTTTGGCGTTCCAGGGAGCTTGTGCCTCATCCTTCTTTGACACCCTGAAATTCTCTTGGTTCCTCGAATCCCGGGCTTTGTAAGCAGCTTCTTTTTGCTCATATTGGATGTAAGCTTGGGCCTTGTGAAGGAGTTCAGTAAGAGAATGAGGCGTTTCGATCCCCACTACTTTGCGAAAATCACTATTTGGCCTTAACCCCTTTTCAAGGAGGTACTTCTTCATGTGATCGGTCGTGTGAATCTCGACTGCTTCTTTGTTAAACCTCTCGATGTAGGCACGAAGGGGCTCATCCTTGCCATGAATTATGCCTTCGAGTGTGGCTTTCGACTTGGGATGACGCCTGAAGGCAGTGAAGTGTCAGGCAAACTGATTTTTTAGGTTCCTCCACGATGTGATCGAGCCCCGGGAAGATTTTTGTACCAGGTCATAGCTCCCTTTCTAAGGGTGATAGGGAACAATTTGCACTTGATTGCTCCGCCTACGTTGTGATAATGAAGTATGGCTTCAATGTTCTCTATATGATCACCGGGATCCGTAGTGCCATCATAGAGAGCTAGAGGAGAAGGCTTCTCCAACCTGCGAGGGATACGAGTGTCAATGATTTCCTGGGATAGAGGCCCGTACACATCGTCTTCATCACTGGTGCTCGACGATCTGTATGGGGAACGTCTACGACGAGGGCTTCTGCTATGTCAAAGAGAATGTTTACGCCGACTTGGACGTTTATGAGGTTTCTCCGAAGCGCTGGTCTTGGGAGATGGAGAATGTCTTGTCATTTGGGGAGAGGTACGATGTCGTTTCTTCGTGATTTCTTGTTCTGATTTCTCCAATTTTGATCGTTCCTTAATTGGAGAATTACTTAAAGACTCGTTTCGCCGATGTTTCTGAGGGGGAGAACGAGAACGGGGAGAAGGACTGTGAGGTCTCAGTGAGGAAGGTCATTCTTGAAGGGCGTTTTCTAGCATACAGATCTTCTTGCCCTGCTGGAAAATCATGTAGTTGGATTTGTTGAGGGCGGCGATGAAAGCTGCAGTGTTGGGAGGAGCGTCTGAAGGAACGAGGATGAGCTCTTATATGTGATCGGAATTCTGGATGCAGGGTTTCACGTTGTCGGAGGATGGATAGGCAGTCTTTCCATCCTTGTGATCGGTCTTGTAGACCACAACTCCAGGATTAAGGTTATCACCGTTATCCAAGGCGACAATGATGACATACTCTTGAGGGACATCATCGTTACGGCGAGAGCCCATGACAATTGAGGAAGGTTTAGAAAGAAAAGCTTTGGTATTTGGATTGAAAAGATTAGGGATCTTGGTTCAAGAAAGACGAGGGAGCAGAGTTTCCCACAACCGGCGCCACTGATTTGGTATGATCAGAATGAATTATCGTAACCTTCAATGTAGGGCAGCAACAATGGTTGTAGGAGAGGAAGGGGTGTACATGCAAGACACTTAAATGCTAAAGTAAGTAACAGGGAGAGAAAAGGGCAAATACAAAGTGTTTTGGTTTGTGTTAGAATGAATTGGATCCCTGATCCTTTCAAGTGAGAGGGTATTTATAAGAATCCTCTAGTGCAGAATATTTATAAGAATGTGGCCGAAGTATCTGGTCGACCAACGGAAGACTGCTAGATGGAAGATCTAGCGCACGATCTTCAACCTGGTCCAACTGTCCCCGTGAACTCCAGACGGGCAGTTGGTCGCGTGAACTATCATGCGCGTGAGGAGGATGTCCTCAACGTCTATATTGTCCCCAACGACTAGATTGTCTTAATCTCTTTATTGGGTCTTGCCTAAAACTGGACTGGATTGGGCCTTCCCCAACCGTGGGACATCTGCCAGTCCAGTCCAGAACATGAACTAAATCCAAACACTAAAATATTACATAATCCTTGAGATCGACATTTGGAATTTCTCCATATATATTCAACCAATTAGTACACTTAAGAGTTTCCCAATTAGTTACTCTCTCGACACTAAAATTATATTTTAAGTGAGTATAAACATTTAGAGCAAGATGAAAGTATAGAAGAAAGTGTTTCTTCTTTAAAAAAATTGTATTTTCAAATGAACATAAGTCATCCTTTTATAATAAGAGATTTAGACCAAAAAGAAAACTTTGGAAGGCCCAAAATCAGTTCATAATCGATTAAGATATAACCATAATCAATTTTGATCTAGAAAAAGTGGAAAGTTTTGCTAGATCAAAAGCATAATCTTATTATATCTCCATAATCGATTACTAAGCGAACTTGGCCTCTTAACCTATTAGTTAAAATCCACAATTAATTATATACCCGGTTATACTACATAATTGATTATAAAAATTTCATAATTGATTATGACATGATTTAAAACTATTTTGGCCTGATCCAAATTGATTTTCAGAAGAGTTTTAAAAATAGATGAATATTTGAAAGAAGAAGTGTTATGAATGTGTCTATGACTTTAGTATATTGATAGTAAAACACTTTAGTCACAATTTTGATTCTAGAAAAGATAAGACAAACCCGAAAACATAATCAAATGGTGAACTTTTAGCATAAACGTTTATTTCTTGATGTTGTTCTTTATCGTTTTATTTTTTTAAACCAATCATTAGAAACTTATTGTGTTTTGAATTATTTCAAAGTTACTTATGCATTTAATGATATTTATGATATCTTGCTTTGATCTCTTTATCATCATCAAAATCTACTATACTAGTTAAACACATAAAACCACAAATAAGTGTATGTAAGGGTCATGTTTCCAAAGGGGTAAGCCTTGGGGCAAGGTGAACATGTTGTAAAATCAGTATGAATATTTATGTTTGTTAAGGTAAGGGTGAGATGATGGTTTTTGAAGGTACAAATGTCTCTATATGGTGAGACGATATTGTGTAGGCCGAGTGGATAGCATCAATGAATAAATATCGATAAAATTGGGCAATAAAAGTTAGAGCATGTGAATTATGGTTTATGTCGGTAAGGGTTTTGTATTATTAGTAACTTTACTTAAATGTATAATATGATCTAAAACAAAATGATGTAAAGTTTGTAACCACTAAAACCCATGAATGCAAAGAGTACGTTGAGTGAGGGAACTACCAAAGGTAGCGTAAAACATATAGAAATTCATAGTGTCAAGAGAAGATAATTTTTCTGTATTCGAGGTCTCTGTTTATATTGATTTTGGTGTAGTAATCACATATTAAGCCTTTTCGGATTGTTGGTCATTTTTAGTAATTAGAATAATAAATTACTTTGATTTATAGCGACGACATGAGATGAATTTATCATCACATTAGAAACACATACCGTTATCGTTGCACTCTTGGAGGTTGCGTTGGTCGACATTTTAAGAAATAGAATGGTATTTTTTTATAGATGGAGTTGTACCAAGGATCAACAGTGTTAAAGATGAGGGTGAAGGTGTTAGGGTGCAAGGAGGACGATTAAATAGTAAGTTAGCAAAGAAATGAATAAAGTCCATACTTCTTAGATGTGAAACATTCATTTTTTTTTTTTAAATTAAAATGATAGAGTGATATCTTAATATCATCATAATTAAATGTTTTTTATATTGTTACGAAAAAATGAGAGAAGAAAGAATGATCTTTCACCCTTTAACAAAAAAAAAAAAAGAAAAATATATGAAAAATTGATATTAAATAAGTTTGAATGGTGATCTCTTAATTTTTTAACGTGTAATTTAAATATTATGATAGTTAAATATTTTTAAATGAATAAAGTTCATATTTGTTAAAAATTAGATAGTTGATTATGGAAGGCTCTAGCTATAAATTGTATGGGTGAGTAGATAGGTGGCTTCTCTAAAAATATTAGGTATATGTATTGTCATAATTGCAAAATTATGGAGTGTTATGGAAGGTTTAAGATTTGCCCATATTTCAAGGTTATACTCGGTCTGAGCTTTAAGTTGATAGTCAAAAAATTGTTAATACAATTAATGGAAAACTATCCATTTGAAGGGTATAAGTTTAATTCATAAAATCAATATTGCAATGGAAGGTTTTGTGGAGGTTAAAGTCGTGAAAATTGATAGAGAAACAAATAAGAGTTTCGATGTTTTGACAAAGTATAGTCTAAATCTTTGTGGAGATAGTGTAAAGTTGATTGATTGCTTTAATTTTCTTCTCAATGTATTGCTAAGTGACATTAAAGGCGTTGGTTGATTTGTTTGTTTTCGTTTTGGGCTTTATGCCCGGTCTTAAAGCATAACAAAAAAAATTCATACTTATTGAATGTGAAATATTCAATTTTTTTTAAAAATTTTAAAATAATAGAGTGATATTTTAATATGATGATAATTATATGTTTTTATATTGTTATGGAAAATGAGATATGAAAGAATGATCTTTCACTCTTTAACAAAAAAGAAGAGAAATATATGAAAAAAAATTATACTAAATAGGTTTGAATGTGATCTCTTAAAATTAGGCTTAAATAGTCTCTTCGTTCTTGTAAGTTGACGTGTTTTTATTTTTAGTTTCTAAATCGTTTTTTCTCGAAAATAATTCATAAATGTTAAAATTATTTTGGTTTAAGTTCTTACTATAAAAATCTGCAATTCGCTAAAAAATTTGAAGGAAAATCCGTAGAAAATCTGTAGATTTTCCTGCAAATTTTGTTTTCAAAAACTAAAACAAAAAATTTAACATTCAAAAATTATTTTCAAAGAAAAACACGTCATAGAAACTGAAAATAAAACCACTCAAACTTACCTAGACAAAAAGTCTATTTAAGCCAAAATTCTATACTTTTCACCAAAACTAAACATTAATTAATTAAAAAACATCCTTCATCTCTTTAATTTGTACCTTGAAATTACATACTTAAAACTTATTTGAAGATGATTACGACATGACATGTATCTTTAATTAACAAACGTCAAACATTCATAAATTAGAAAACATATTTATTCTTCAGTGGATGACGCAATTTGCACTTAACTCTTAAGGAAATCTTCTTTCCCACAGTGATTCCTTTTCCTTCAGCCATGTCAATTTTCTCTGTACCTATACCTTTCCATTCAAAACACTGAATCAATAAGCCCAAACTCAAGCTTACCGTGCGTTGGGCCAAATTTGTTCCCGGACAGGCCCTTCTTCCTATTCCAAATGAAAGTAGTTTATTTGTCTCACCTTCTTTCTCAAATCTCTCTGGCTTAAAACAAGTAGGATCTGTCCACAAATTTGGATCTCTGTGAATGTCCCAAGCATTCACCAATAAAATTGTGTTTTGTGGGATATTATACTCTTCAATTGTAAAATCTTCTGAAGACAAATGAGGCACTAATAATGGAGCAGCTGGATGTAATCGAAGAGTCTCATACACAATGCTTTGAAGATAAGGAAGTTTCGAAATATCATGTTCATCTACCAACTGATCTTGTTCCATGTGACTGTCTAATTCATCTCTCGCCTTCTTCAATATTTTTGGATTATTTAATAAATTTGACATAGCCCATTCTAAGGTTACAGATGATGTGTCGGTTCCTGCCAGTAACATTACCTAAAAATACAAAAATTCAGACAAAATTTCAATATCAATGAAGTAGTATTAAATATCAGATTTTTTATATTTTTATCTATTAAATTTAAACCTATATTAGCATTACTCTTTTAGGAAAGTATATGCATAAGATACTTACCGACACAATCCATAGTTATGAAAAAATTTCTTGCAAGTAATAACTGTCAATGCCAGATTGTCAGTGGTCACACACAAATGCCACATTTATCTATCAACTATATCAACTACTATAATTAATGTCACTCTTATCATTAAATTTTCATTATTGTTTTAATGTTCTATCCACAAGCTTTTCCAATAACAATGAAACAAATAAATCAAGTAAGTTTCTACTTACTACAATAAGTCCTTTGATGATTTCATCAGTGTAGTATTCAGGTTGTGATTCTTGCTGTTTCAAGAGATGATCAATCATGGTATTCGCGTTCCTTTTTCCAAATCTATGTTCATCAATGAGTCCTTGTAAAAATGAATCTGTTCTTTTGCTTATCCTCTTAAGCCTCTTCTCCAAACCATCAAAATCAAACCACCGTAAAAACCCTAGAAAGTCACCAACGTTGTTTGCTCCTGCTAACATCACAATCTCTTTGATCATCTCTCTGAACAATCTAGCTTCTTCAACATCACTCACATCGCAATCATCACCATAGTATCTTTTACCGGACACCATTCTCATGATGGTGTTGAAATTCATTTCGGAAAACATTGGCTTAAGTTCCACTTCTGAGAAACCATTGTAACAAACTTGTGCTAGCTTTTGTATTAGTCTCATGATCTCGTCTCTTCGTATTTCCAAGAAGGAATTCAAACGGTGAGACGAGAGTACCTCGGTTGTTATTATACGGCGGAGATTGCGCCAATGGTCGCCGTAAGGTGACTGTGCTACCGTGGTGTTGTTGTAGCCGATATATTTGCCGGTTAAGAAATGAGGACGGTTCGCTAAAACGATGTCGTGTTTGGTAAAACATTCTTGTGCTGCTTTTAGTGATGAAACAACGACGACGAGACGAGAACCGAACCATAGAGAGAAGATTTGGCCGTGTTTTTGGGATAAGGTTTGGAAAGTGAGATGGAGTGGTTTTTTGAGTTGATGAAGGTTTCCGAGAATGGGAAGAAATGGTGGGCCCGGGGGAAGGTTCTTGAACCTTGATGTTGTTGTGTGGAAGAAGAGCTTCAATGTGATGATAATGATAAGGAAAATGGAAGAGATGAGTGTGAGAAAGAAAGTGACCATTTTTTTTTTGTGTTGATTGATATGTTTGAGTTTGTAAGGAAGGAATGTGAAGTGGGGATATATAGTTTGTTTTGTAAGAATAATGGTGGATTTGATTACGTTTGAGCTTACGTATTTATGATAATTTTATGGTAGATAATAGTTAATGAATTGCGGCAAAAACCGAAAGATAAAAGGGTAAGCATGCAAAAGATATAGTCACTTTGGAAAAAAAATGAATAAGACAAATGAGAAAATAATCATCATTTGGGAGAAAAATATATATAGGAGAGAAAGTAAAAAGTAAATTAAGAGGAGATAAAAAAAATTTTAAAGAAGATAGAAAATTGAAAATTAGTGAATTCAAATCTAAATATAAAAACTATCTAAACGACTAGCAAAACTATTAACATAGTTTTTATTTGGTTTTAAGTAAATTATTAAAATGATTAAAAAAATAAGTAAATATTAAAACGTGTCATTTAATATTGTATAAAAAGAGTATAAAGACTCCAACCAATTGCAATATGGTGGGGCTCTTAATGGAAGTTTTTTCTTTGAATGGACAGATATAAACTTGGAAATGTTTTCTTAGAAAGTGATAGTTAACTACATACTTCCATAGATCAGTTTATGAAAATGAAGTAATTGAATTAAAATTAGATAGAGAATAATTCATTAGATGCTTTTATTATAATTGAATTATGGAGGTATCAAAACATGAAGAAAACATTTATTGAATACCAGACAATTATCCGAGAAATTGGAATATATTTTTACTAGGTCATAAGGGATAGGAGTGTTCATCGGTATAAGTGAACCCGCGAATCCATTCATTTAATTTAATCTAACCCTTATTTTTATGCATTTCATTCATGTACACGTTCGAATCAAACCAAATCATTCAAACACGTTAGTATTTGATTCGGATAACGAATTTAAAATCTTAAATCTACAAACCCACGAACCTAAACAACTAATATGTCACACTATTTTTTTTAAATTATATTTATAAATTATCTAACATAATATTAATATAATTATAGTTTTTATTAATTATAAAACCATAAGTCTAAATTAAATTTAAGAGATCAATTTTATTTATTTAAATAGTGATATATTTTACCTTTTAAATCATACTTTACACCATTTATATATTTTTGTAACTTTATATGAATCATAAAAGAGCTTTTATATATTAACAAATTAATCTTATTCAAAATGAATACTAAACGTTTATGATTTTTTTTAATTTTTTTAAATATAAATGTGTTAATTAAATTGATGTATTTTATTTAGAATTTGAAAATTATAATTAGTGGATGACCTACGAACTCAACCCAACTCAATTCATTGATGAACGAGGTGGTTTGCTTCGGGTTCTGTTGGTAATGTTGCTGAGTCTAAAATCTCATTTTGTGGTTGCAATGAAGCTACGAGAATGTTCATTTCAAACTCAACTGAAAACTCTAAAAGAAGATTCTACAAGTGTTCAAATTTGGGATTAGGTTGCAAGCTATTCATCTGGGATGATGAAATTAAACGTATCACATCAAGTGAACACAAAAACTCATTTGGATGAAATTGCTCAGATGTAGTTTAGGAGTTAGGGTGCATCATTAAAGATCTTGAAGTTAGGGAAAAAAGAGAATATGAAAATGAAAGGAAGAAGGTTAGAATGTTGAAGCTTTTGTTGACTCTTTCGTGGTGTCTCTTCTTTGCCTACCATAAATGGTAGTGATTCATCGATAGTGTAATTTATTTTTTTGTTTTGTTTTGTTTTAGTCCTTATTAGAAGATTGCTTGTTGAAATGCGTCATTGTAATGCTACATTATGAAATGAATTAGAAGTAATTTAATTTTTGATTTCCGTCCCTAAACGTTTGTTAGTTACAGTTTTGCATCCTTCTTGCTTAATGAAATTTTTGTTTGCATCACTGGTTGTTAATGTTGAAGAACATAAAGACATATATAAAAAAGTGATCTCAAAATATAGGAAAAATACACCATACATAAACCAAAAGATGTCTTACATATAGCCAAAAGGCATATAAATTTGTCATGTAGTACAACAAATACACACCAAATCATAATGGTGTGATATGTCTCAAAATTAAATAAAGCCAAAGGGCATAAACTTATGTCTAACAATGCACAAAAGACACAACAACAAATCCAAAAGGAATCAAATACACTATGACAACATGCTTATGGACCCCTTGTCCACATTCATAGGCTGTGATGGATTACTTCCTTCTCCTTTCAGGTTTTTGCATTTAAGGACCCTTGTTCTGTCACTTCTCCTCAACTCCAATTTTCTTGTAACTTGTGGTTTGGTTTGCTTGATCTTCTTCTTCTGTAAAATATAGAGTATTAAAGGTGCAATACATCAATAGAATAAAACTAAATAATTAGGAAGTGGTAGGATATACTCAACTGTTTTAAGAAATTTTGGAGTAGTAGATACAGTTGCAGCAGACACATTCTCAGATGGTGGAACAGATACACTCAAAATATAGTCAGGTATATGTTCAGTTTGTGAAGTTGCAACAGGTTCAATGATGTCACATGTGCATTATTACTTGATTCACTTTGACCAGATGCTGCAATAGGTACAATATTACTTGGTTCACTTTGTGCAGGTGCAATATTACATGGTTTAGTAACAACAAGATTAGGTTGTGCTTGAGTTGCCTCAAATGCTGCTGCAAGATTTGCAGCAAACATTTCAAACTCAGAGTCAACTTCCATTTGAGTTTCATTTGCTTGTGATTGTTCTGGTCCTGATGCAACTTGGGTTCATTAGTTTGAGTCTGACTTTGCTCTTGAACTGATGCAGTTTGAGTTTGAGTCTAAGTTTGTCCTTTTCCTTTTCCTTGTCATGGTGTAGTTTTCTTTGGATTTCTCTGGACAAAAAAATCATAGTCAGGTAATTGACATTATCAATGACAATAATAAGATATGCAAAGTTATAGAAAATTCAATAACTTTTTTTTTGTGCTTCAGGGTCAACCACTTGACCGGTACAACTTCTTACATTGTGGCCATGTACACCACATCTAGTGCAACAATAACTGGTTTGTGTTATTACTTTATCAAGGTCCTCATCAGGCTTCCTCCTCCTCAACTTCTTTGGTCTGCCAAGTCCCTTTTTATATGTTGACCTTCTCCCCCCTCCTTGCATTCTGGCCTTCTTCCTTTCATTTTCCAACTTCATCTTAATTTTCTCTTTTTTCCTAGCTTCAAGATCTTTAATGATATACCCTAACTCTTAAACTACATCTGAGCAATTGTATCCAATTGAGTTTTTGTGTTTACTTGATGTACTGCGTTCAAGTTCATCATCCCAGATGAATAGCTTGCGAACTAATCCCAAATTTGAACACTTCCGAAATCTTCTTTTAGGGGTTTCAGTTGAGTTTGAAATAAACATTCTCATATTTTTATTCCAACCATAAAATGGGACTTCAGACTCAGCGACATCACCAACAAAAGATGTTTCCATGAATGACTTTGGACTAGGTTTTGAAGTTTTTGAGAAAAGAAGGAGAGAGGGAGAGGAGACGGAGAAGAAGAAGAAGTGAAAAATGCAAAATGTTGATTATTTTTTGGATTTAGTCCTCCTTTTCAAGGCCCCTTCCCATGGATTTCCATGTGTGCATCAAATAAAAAGAAAAACACACATAAGCCAATTCCACATATGCACCGTTTGCACAATCAACTTTTTTTTTAACAGAAAGCTAACATCAGGGACTAAAGAAAATACAAAAGTAAGTTATAAGGACTTAGACAAAAAAAAGATATATGGACTAAATTCAAAAACTCGCTAACTTACAGGGAGCAAATGACTATTTAAGTTTATATTTTATTATTATCTTAAATGTTATGATAAAATATAAAATAAAAATTATATTTAAAAAATTAAAGATACGAAATATAAAGTCTACAAACAAAATAATAAGAGACTCAATTTATATGTAATTGTTAAAAAAAAGTTTTCTTAGCTTAATTATTAAAAACTTTAAATGTAAATTTAAAAATATTTAGATGAGATGGTAAGAAATCTCTTATACTATAATTAAAATTTTTGAGTTGGATCCCGGTTCTGAGTATGTGACAATGTTAATTTTCTTGAGGGAGCACTTTGTCATCGATTGTGGCCCTACGCAACTTAAGTTATAAACGTTAATTTATGAAAATTTCAATCAAAATGATTTTTTTTTATTTATTCTAAGTATATATTTTATAATTTCTATCTAGTAATAATAACAAATATGTGTTATATCTCCTTCCTTCTTTCTTCAATCCTAGTTTTTTCTTTTTTCCCTCCATTAAAGATAGATGATTTTAGGGTTAATTTTATAATCTAAAATCACTCTTCTAATTTTTTTTATCCTTTTCTTTTCAGTCAATTAAGTGATTTCACATATATTTTTAGTTTTTTTCTTCATAATTTCGTCATCTTGGTGTGGCGTTGTGTCGACACTCACAATAGTAAGGCAATGCGGGAATATTCATTTCTCTTGAGGGAGCGCTTTGTCATCGATTGTGGTCTTACACGACTTAAGTTATAAAGGTTAATTAATGAAAGTTTGAATCAAAATTAATTTTTTGATTCTAAGTAATCATAATTTTTATCTAGTAATAATAACAAATATGTGTTATATCTCCTCCCTTCTTTCTTTAATCCTAGTTTTTTTTCTCGTTTTTTTCTCCATTAAAGAGAGATGGTTTTAGGGTCAATTTTATTATCCAAAATCACCCCTCTAATTTTTGTTGTCCTTTCCTTTTCAGTCAAATAAGTGATTTCACATATATTTTTAGTTTTTTTCTTCGTAATTTCGTCGTCTTGGTGTGATGTTGTGTTGGTCGTCGTCTTAAGACTCGAATACATGGGTATTTCTAGCATTTCAATTTCGTTATATTTGTAGGCTTTTCCATATTTGTATACATTTTGACTTACTATTGTGAGTGCAACTTTCTAATTAGATGTATTTTGAATGATGTCAAAACTAAGAGAC